TTAATGCACAGTGTTCATAGAAGAGTGAGCACACACTTACAGAAACCTAGAAGTAAAGCACGTGAGTAGGGTATGTGCCCAGCAACTTGGATGTCTCTCTGCAGTCTCTAAGGAATTTCTCCTTTTCAAACCAGAGAGGGCAGTAGAGAGCAATACAATCAAGACCTTAAGAAGTTTTTCTTCTCTCAGATTGTAGATGGTGATAAAGAGCAATGCAGACAAGCCCAGCCCGCTCTTCAAACGGACTTTTCCATTCTAATCACTACAGAGCCCTTCTCTACGTAGCTCCCAGTGGTCTGGCTTCAGTCAGCTGGCTCAGCCTGGGACAGCTTCTGATTTTCTATCTTCCAATTTTCCTCTTCTCAGCTTCTTCCAAGCAGAAAGGGCGTAGTCTCTCTGGTGCTTCTGTTTCTGTTGCCGGCTTCTTTCTTCTGTTGAGTAGTGTCTTCTGAGCTCCTCATTTCCCATCTGACTTCTCTATCTTCCCCTTTGATCCTCTCTGGCTTTTCATGTCCCAAACCAGGGCCACTTCATAGTCCCATCAGGTATAACACAAATAGCACACAGTCTCCAAATAGTTCTTGAATTTGTAGGTTCCCCTCCCCAGTCATAAAAAACCCTGAAAATGGAAAATATTTAAATGAGTTGATAAACAATCCCTTGCAGCCAAATTGACTTTAATTAGTCATTTCTGCCTCTGAGTTACTTTCAAGCAGGTTTTTTTCCCCATTTTTTTCTTCTACCTCTCTTACTTGATTTTTGAAATCCTTTTGGAGCTCTTCCAAGAGGACTTTTTGGGCTTGAGACCAATTCATATTCCTCTTTTAGGATTTGAATGTGGGCATTTTAACATTATTGTCCTCTTCTGAGTTTGTGTTTGAGTCTTCCCTATCACCATAGTAGCTTTCTATGGTCAGGGCTCTTTTTTGTTTTTTTGCTCATTTTTAAAAAGTTGAGCTCTGCTCCTGGGGTATAGGGGGCACTGTCCCAAGCTTCTTGTGCTGGGGGCCAGAGGCCTGGTCATTGGCTTTCTTCATAGGGGCCTCTGGGCTTGGTGGCTTGCCCACAGTGCTAGGGTGGTCTAGCCTACTTACACCTTCTATAGTTTGCCTTCTATGCTGGGGCTGGAGGTCTCACAGTTAGCCTGCTAAGCCAGGACTGTGGGGCCTCAGTTGAGGATCTGTGCTGTGACTAGGAGCTTCGCGCTGGCTTGTCTGGATACCACCAGTGCTAGGCTGCGCTCTTCTTTTACCCAACTGAGATAGATCTTTACTGAAGTCCTTCAAAGTTATCTTGGGCTGGAAAATTGTTTCACTCTGTCTTTTCATGAATTCTGTTGCTCCAGAATTCTTTTAGAGGCTTGATTTAACATTGTTTCTGAGTGAAACTGGGGAGAGCTCAGGCAACTTCCTGGCTTCTCTCTACCATCTTGAGTCCACCCCCTCAAGCAGGTTTTCTCAATAATTTAATCTGAGCAGCTGTTTTGTTTCAGATTCTCAGGACAGTCTCAAGCTGCTTTTCTCATGTGAACATCCTTTTTCTGCCTCTTTCAGAAAATAAAATGTCCATGTGTGAAAGGGGCAGTATTGTACATAGTTAATGAAAAAATAAAATTTCCCAGAGTAGTGAGCGGTATTGTGGTGGACCCTGCTACCTTGTGAAAGTGATTAATTCCCTAGTCCCCCTTTCACTGTGTTTTGAGTAAGTCGTTCCATGGGTAGGTCAGACTATGGCTAGGTAAATACAACTTACATCTATGCAAAGAGTGTATGTGTACAAGCAGTATATCGACAATGCCTTTATTAAGTACAAGAGCTGTGTTTACACAGACATCAGTTCCCTTTGTAAAGAAATGCCCAGTGGGATTGGCATAGTATATTTATTTGCATTACTTCAATCAATTCTAGTCACTAGCTGGTCAGATCACAAGTATAGGGAGCCGAGACCACTGAGTCAATCAATAAGCATTTATGAAGCTCTTACTGTGCTCCAGGCACTATGCTACCAGGTAGGACACAAAGAAAGGCATACACTTTCTCCTTTCAAGGAGCATACATTCCAATGAGGAAAATAAAGATCAAACTGCTTCCATAATCTTAATGTACCTGAAGGCCACCTCCCCCTCTCCTTTCTTTCTTTCTTTTCCTCCTTCTCTTCCCTCCTTCTTTTCTCCTTCCTTCTTCTCTTTTTCCTCCTTCCTTTTATCTTCTCAACTTTCTCCAAACCACCCCCAACCTAGAGAATTACCTACAAAGCACTGAATCAGACAGTTAGTATGTATCAGAAACAGTCAAGTCTTCCTGATTCCATGCTGCCTGAAGTCTCCAGTTAATCATTGTGATCACCAGTTTCTAGGGTTTTGAGTCTACCGTGTAATGGCATACATGAAATACAAAGGGAAGCACCCAGAATGAGTGTAGTGTAGTGAAAAGAGTGCTGGATTTGAAGTCAAAAGACCAGAGTTCAAATCCTGGCTTTATCCCTTATAGCCATGTGACTTTGTGCAAGTAACTTAACCTCTTTGAATTCCAGTTCCTGCAAAATGAGGGGACTGGATTCAATACATTCTAATCTTAACCTTTAATCCTAGAAACTATGTATAAACCCATAGGTGTGCATGGAGTGTGGACTGCGTATGCTCACACAGCCAAGCACCCTGAGCAATGCTTTATATATGCCTCCGTGTGGGCTATTGGCTATGGCTGATAGTTTGTGGAATTGGGAGGGGGACAGTCAGGCAAAGGCAGTCTGAAAAATACTTCATTGATCTAATTTCCATTGTCAACAGCTGGAACTTCCTTCCCATGTCCACCATGTGGGGGATTGAGAAGGATTACAAAGGATTGCTGTAGGCTGATAAATGGACTGTTCTGACATTTTGACCCGTCTCCTCAACCCAGGCCCCACGACTATCATTATTCCATTATTTGTCAGCTGGGTTTGCCCCGCCTTGAAAGCTCCAAAGCCCAGAACTCCAAATCAGCCAAAATGATCTCATTCTCCAAAGGGTTTTGCAGTTTTTGACTGGTACTCTGGAGGTGGGAATGTGAATATGAAATGAAATGGATGCAAATATTTGGGAATATTATTAGTCTCTGTTTCAAAGCTAAAGCAATGCCAGAGTTGAAGGAAAGCATGTTGGAATGGACAGGTTATTGGCCCAGTTCATTGATCCACTGGAAGCTATCCATGTTTAGAAAATGGTATAAAAATTAGCCATTTAATCCCATTAAATTCATTTATCTGCTTCTAGTTTTCCTAGTTGTGAGAACTGTCCATGACCTGTAATATGATTTCTCATCTACATATGTATTTGTGAAAAAAAGAAACCACTGCTCCACTGTGCCTGATTTTATACTCCTGGGAATAAAAAGTATTTAAAATTTCCTATATAATTTCTTGTGTTAGCTCTTTGTGGAATGGTCAGGCAGCTCCCTTGTTTCAATAAAGTTCTTGAGATCATTCGCTTCTACCATGACCTGGAGAAATATGGTCTTTGTTTTCCACCCTAACCATTACTCTGGTCTCTGTTATCTAACAGCCTCATCAGATTTTAAATAAGTTAATCTTGTACCAGAATGTTTATTCTTTCACCTTGATCCGATGGCATTTATGAGAGTGATAAAGACATGGTTCTGACCCGAATCTCAGTAGAAAGTTGCCTCCTCAATCCAGTTGACTTGACTAATTACAGACCATAGTATTGAATCAAGAGAGATCTACCCAGTTTGGGAATGGAAAGTCACTAATGCAAAGATGTGACTATTTGTAGAGCACATCCTTATTATCAGGAATGAGGTAGGGGAAAATGAAGGTTACAACTTTTCTGGGAAGTCTCTCTCCACTCAAAGTATCATCTGTCAATTATAATATTTACAAGGATGGCAGGGAACTGAGGACACCTCATTACAAGGAAATTACAATGAAAACTAAGGAGCATAATTACATTAGGCAGTAGACTAGAGGACATCTATCTATCCACACATATACATACACATATATGTATATATACACACATACACATATATTCCCCCCAAATCTTACTGCAATCTTAAACTTTAATAGCTTAAAATTATAGGCTTTAAGAGATTGAAATAAAAAAATAGATTATAATAAATTAAATAGTTTGAAACTGCACTAAGAATTTGGGGATACTACATATATGTGTGTATTGCATATGTGTGTAATACATACATACACAGACTTTAAAAATTGAATCCAGATGTTTCTATGTGACAGGAAAATTTGAAATTAAAAACAAACAAACAAATCCTACCATTTTCTCAAGGGAAAATAATTTAAACAAACCAGGGACGAGGGGAGAAAGAAAGGCTTGATATGTTTGTGATCTAACAAAGAGGTCCTGTCACCCAGCAGTAGAATATTCTACGAAGGTAATCTAGGAGGAAGTTAGCTCTTCCTGTAATCACATGGTGATTAATAAAAACAGTGGAGACAAAGCTGTGCTTGCAACAGAAACTGCCTTACCTTCTGCTAAGTATCTGTGGGAGGATTTTTCTCCCAAACACATAAGATCCAGGGTAGGGGAAGGGGAGAGGAAGGAGAGGGAAGGAGCAGAGAGAGAGACGAAGACAGAGACAGAGAGAGGGGAGGAGGGAGGGAAGGAAGAAAGCAGGGGGGAGGGGGGAGAGGAAGAGAGAAAGAGAGAGAAAGAGAGAGAGAGAGAGAGAGGGAGAGAGAGAGAGGGAGAGAGTTTCATTTTTAGTCTAGGAACACAGAGATTGAACTAGACTTCTGATTAGCTAGTAGCTTGAATGTTGCAAAGTTATAGAGTTTTAAAACCGAAAGGAACCTTTAAAACCATTTATTTCCTGTTTTAGGAAATCATAGTGCCATTGTGAAGCCCATCAAAAACAAACCCACAGTCACCTGGCTCTACCTTGCTCATTTCAGCACAACCTCCCCTCCCCCACCTCAGATGTTAAAAGCCACCTCATTTTTTTGGAGGTGGTTCTGATACTTACTGAAGCTCAATCCTCTCTCCATGATGTTGTCCCGCTGCAGCAAATGATCAATTTCTACTCCGCGTGGCCAAGGTCAGGTGTGAGAGAATAACAGGCTTGCTCTTGGTGCCATATAGAAATGATTTATTGCATTTCTAGAAGAAGATGCTTGACATTTGGAAAATGTAATGTACTGCTGCAGTAATTAAGCAAAAAGTAGACTGCTGAACAATTGATTAGTACTGTCAGTGCCGCCTGATTAACTGAGATGCTTGAAGAACTGAGTCTGCCACCTATGAATTAAGGGTGAGTAATTAAATTTATGGGCCACGGCCCGTTCTCTCCAGTTGGTGCTCCACTTTTAAGGATTCCAGGACAGGGGGTGAGGGGTAGAGGTGGATGGGGCATAAAACCAAGAAGGAGAAAAGATGCAGGTTACAACTTTTCTGGGAAGTCTTTGGAAGAGTAGGGTCCGCCATCATCTGAGAGGAGGAAATGGTGATCAGCTAAAGGTGTATTTGACACCCAGCTCTTGCCCCTCTGTGCCCAATGACAGTGGTGATGAGTGAATCCCAGTCGTGCTCTGATGGGTAGAAAACGTGGGGAGTGGGGGATGAGGCTGATGGAAGGCAGTTGTGCTCATCAAAACAAATGACTGGTAGTCCATTTTGGGGAACACCTGGTCAGCATATTGGAAATATGATCTCCTGCAGCTGTCATGGAGAGAATGGGCTAATTGAAATAACAAGGGTCGCCTCAATGTCATTGTAGTTCCCCCTACCACTCAGAGCATAATAGCTCATTTTTGTTTCACATGAAATAAATAACATAACATTTTTATGGTCTCAAAATCATAAAGGAGTGTTAAGCATTTTGGCATCCATATGATGTTAAGCTACCCAAGTAGGGACTGTTGCCAAAACTATGAATCCCACGTTAGGTGCCTGCCATTGAGTTGAGGGAGAGAGCTTATGACCTGCTTTGGACAAGTATTTTACAGAAATGTGAATGGTGCTGGAAATTTATCTGAGTTTAAGCCACAAGAAATGGTATTTGTGGTGGGAAACCTTTCAGGGAAATCATTATTTTTAACTGTTTGGGGCATTTTTAAGCTTTTGAATACATTTGGTTATAAGGTTTTTGCTAATTGCTTCAGACATCGTGGTAAAATTCTCAAACTTAGTGTCATTTACTCAATAAAATGTGTGTGTGTGTGTGTGTGTTTGTGTGTGTGTGTGTGTGTGTGTGTGTGTATGTATAAGATAAGTAATAGATGCAATTCCCTACTAACAGACTGGATCCTGCAAGATGAAAAACAATCTCTTGGAGGTCAAAGATTTGGTGAGATGAACAAATGATTCAGCAATTTGGGCAAAGAAGTAAATAGCAAACACAAGATTGCTACTTCTGTGTCCAGTGGATCTATACTCCATCATAATAAGAGAAGACAGGTTAGAGTATAAACATATGCATTTGTACGGCAATGATATAATTCACAAGCCTTTGTTAAGTTCCTACTATGTTCCAAACACTATGCCAGGCACTGGGAATATGAAAATAAAAATAAAAATAAAACCATCTCTTCCCTTAAGGTGCTTATGTTCTCTCAGGGGAGCTGAGATGTACAGATATAAGTATATGTAAAATATGTACAAGGTAAATACAAGTTAATTTGGGAGTGACGGAGCTAGTAGCTGGGAGGGATCAGAGAATGGGTCTTGTTTCATGTAGAAGATGGGGCTGCAGCTGAGTTTGGAAGGAGAGCTCAGGATTTGGTGGTGAGGTTTACATTCCAGACATGGGGGAACAGGCAATATAAAGGTATGTGAGTGGGAGACGGAGCATCTTGTATAAGAAATCACAAGAAAACCAGCTTGACTGGACCAGGAAATGTATGAAGGGGAGTGATGTGTAATACAACTTCAAAGGTACATAGGAACAACCCTTTATGAATGGGGCTACTTTGATGTTTTGTGATCTCACTAGGCTGGGTATTCCCTTCGTTGGGGCAGCTTACCATCTGTCCAGGCCTTCTCTTCTTCTTTGAGAGAAATTAACAAATCTCTATCATACTTCAATATGCCAGGCACTGTGCTAAGTGCTGGGGGAATGCAGGCCCAGCTCAAATACCATTCGCTTAGTGTGGACTTCCCTGATCAGCCACCCTAGACGGAGGGAATCACGCCCTCCACTGTTATCCCTCAATGCCTTGTTGGCATCTCTCTTATAGCCCCTGCCACTTTCTGCCTTAGAGTCTTTTTTATTCATGTTACCTACCCCACTAGCAGGTAAGGCCCTTGAGGGCACTTAAAATGTGTGTGTGTGTGTGTGTATGTATGAAATAGGCAACAGATGCATTTCCCTACTAAAGGACTGGATCCTGTAAGATGAAAAACGATCACTTGGAGACCAAAGATTTGGCGAGATGAACAAATGATTCAGTGATCTGGGCAAAGAAGTAAACAGCAAACACAATATTGCTAGCTCTTATATCTAATGGATATATACTCTATCATGAAAAGAGAAGACAGATTGGAACGTTATTAATGTTTCCTCCATAGCACTCAGCATAGTGCAACAAACAAGAAACTCAATAGATATTTGTGGAATGAAGAAATGGTATACAGGGGTGGGGAACCTGCAGCCTTGAGGCCACATGTGGCCCTCTAGGTCCTCAAGTGCAGCCCTTTGACCGAATCCAAACTCCACAGAACAAATCCTTTTATTAAGGGATTAGAGTCAGAGGGTTATAGGAGATACTCTTTAGGAGGAGGAGAGATTAGTATGGTCAGGAATAACTTCATGGAGAAAGCAGGATTTGTGTTGAGTAAATGGGAGAAGGACATTCACGGAAGGAGGTGAGATGGAATGGGTGTGGAAAATCAGTTGATTAATCTTCCTGAAATGGAATGCTCATAGAAGGAAGAAGAGGGGAAAGGGCAAGAGAGGGAAGTTTGTAAAGGTGTAAAATGCTGCCAGATGATGGAGATCCTTGAGTGTCCTGCATGGCCTTGGTGCTCCAAGCATTCTGATGGTTTCCACTTCCCTGAATATTGGTAATCCAAGCCCACCATGCTTATCCCACACTATTCATCAGAATATTCCATCTGGTCACGTCACTAGGTTACAAAGAGTCACCTTGGTCACCAAAAGGTCAAGAGACCTTTATTAAAGGTCTTAATAAATTCAGGATGTGTCACTTCAACCCAAATTTTCTTGACTCTGAGTTTGGCTGTCTACCTACTACTCCATGCTGCCTTTAGAACATGGAACTAAGAATAAAATACTATCAGTTTTTTTATAAATTTGATTTTTAAAATTTATTTATCATTTTTTTCCACACCAGGTTGAATCTTTTATCTGGAAATTTGGGAAGTCATTTAAACAGATGCAATTTTTGTCTCTTAAACTCTACAACTGACTGACATTTATATAGTACTTTAAACTTTGAAAGGCCTTTTACACATAATAGCTCCCTTGAGCCTCAAGACAACCCGGGACAATGCTCCAATCTGATTCTATACCTGGGTCAATAAAAAAAACCTCAACCATACCCTACTATGTCTTAGGGGGAAAGGCACAAATCTGTGCATCTTTCTGAAAGGCAGGACAGAGTGGATGCAGAAGGGCTGCAGACAACCTTTTTTTACTCGTGGAGAAAGTATCATTGTGGTGAGTGTTTTAAGAGTTCTCTGACCTCCAGGTGGACATATTTTATGACTTCATTAATAAAAGGGGTTTGATAACTTGAGGTGGTCTAAAACAATTTGGGAACAAACGCCAATCACAGATGCGAACAACTTTCTGGTCAAGTCCAAGTTGAAGTTTTGAAGAGGTATTCTCATAGTGTAAGGCTAAGTGGGGTGGGGTCATAGATTGATTTTTGTTGTGTCTGACTCTTCATGACCCCATTTGAGGTTTTCTTGGCAAAGATACTAGAGTGATTTGCCATTTCCTTCTCTAGCTCATTTTCTACATGAAGAAACTGAGGCAAACAGAGTAAAGTGACCTGCCCAGGGTCACACAGCTAGTAAGTATCTGAGGCTGGATTGGAATTCAGGTCTTCATGACTCCAGGCTCAGCACTTTATCCACTGCACCACCTAGCTGCCCATAGATAGATTGATTAACTTATATTTTCCCCTCCTCTCCTTACTTATAAGAGGACAGGAACTGGACTTGTGAAATTTTTAGCATAGAGAACTCTCCACTGATGTAGGTTGGCACCTGTTCTCCAATTTATAGTGTTTCTGAAGTGCCTGGGACACTGAGAAATCAGGAGACTTATCCAGGGACACACAGCCAGTGTTAAAGGTAAGACTTGAACCCGGGTCTTCCTATCTCCAAGGCCAGTTATTTATCTGCTTTGTCATATTATTTGTCATGTGGTAGTATGCAAGGACAAGGGATGAGAAGTTAACAAGAAGAATAAATATATCTTAAATCCATTGTCCTTTCAACTTGGGCTAAGAGGCTTATGTGTTATTGAAATTAATTTCCATTTTTTTCATGATTGGGAAAACAGATTTTTCATAAGTGAGGAAAAGACCATGGAGGGAACACTGCCTACCGCCAGAGCCCCTGTCCTGGATGTAGGCCCAGACAGAGTCATTATAGATCCTCTAACACTGTGCCTGCCCTGCACCTGATCATGGTGGGCAACTCCAAATAAGCACAGAAGACGTCACCTGGCTCCACCTTTCACCACATCCCCGGCAGCCCTCAACATTCCATGTACTACTGCTCAAGCTCCAGAGCTCGGATGGATTGAGTGGGGAGAAGGTCACAAGAGTCCACGCTAGGCATCCCCTAGCTGGTGTGGGTCAGGGATAGGATTCTGCCTTGGCGTTCTCAGTGTATTGGCCTTACCACCTGCTCCAAACCAGCAAGAGAGATGATTCTTTTCTCTTGCCATGCTGACAGACCGTAATGACGATTGGGTGATTCTCCTACACTTACTCTGCCTCTCATCACATGCTCCCTACCTATATGGCTCTGGGCAAGATCCCCAGGCAAGTCCCCAAGACTTCTGTTGTACTTCCTAGTTGCCTCTGGGAAGAATAAAGGAATAATGATGATGAAGATAATAAGTAACATGAAATAGCTCTTTAAGACATAAAACACTTCACAGTTTCATAGGTTCACAGTTAGAGGGTATCCTGGAGATCATCAAAACTAACTACTTCACTTTACAGATGAGGAAACTGAGGCACAGGAAGGTTAAGTCATTTTCCGAACCTCCTGCAGATGCCAAGTGCCAAGAATGGGATCAAAACATAGAATTTCTTGACTCCAGGCCCAATGCCC